ATTGAAAGTGTTTTCTCATATTTCCCTGAAGACCAAGCCCTCCATGAAAAGAAGCAGTCAAACACACAGAATAAGCATGGTCCAAGTATGAGCGTGCATTATAAAACAATATTTTTTTTATTTATTCCAAAGAAGAACATAACAAACCCAACAGATTTCTTTCTGCATTTTTAATGGCTCACTGCTGAGCATAAGCCACCTTGGGACAAGTATCACAGCAAAGATAATTTACTTTATCTTCACTGTGATGTAGCATAATGATGACTTGACCTGGCAAAGCTCTTCATATTGGGGAAAAAAGTTTTTTTCCCAGCAGAGGATTTATTATCCCAAATTATAGGATATATTTCTGGTACAATTTTACTGCTTTAATTCTCATTTTCTCCTTGTAATCTCTTTTTCTGGGGGAAAACACCTGCCTGCACTGCCAGATAGGGAGGACTGTAACTGAAAAAGGGGTACCACTGGCCCCTCGATGATTAAAGTTAACTTTCTCTCAGTGTGACCACAGTAGCATGGACTTTGTGTGAAGCAGATGGACTTCCCAGTCTCTTGGGCTGAAGTTTAATCTTGGATGTTTTTGCTTTACTGTATTTTTGCTAGCAACAGCAAATGCTCACGGGACTGGATCTACGCCAGGTTGCAGTCCTGAAGTCAGAGTGAAGGTCTGAGCCTTGGATTTGTACTCAGTGACGGTTTTCACAGCTGCAGCTACTAGAGAAAGCAGACCCAGTCTTCTGCAAAGCACAAAAATACAGGCTGAATACGAGGAGCTGATTCAATTCCTTATCCATTCATTATATACTAAATTGTACCAGGAGTAAAGAGTGAAGGATAATGCATCACCTGTTTTGAAGGACCCTGTGATTTAGGGAGAGCACAGCGCCTGGGCATGGTTGAGGAAGGCAGAATACAAACCCCCATCTCATCCAGAGATGAAGTCCAACGCCTTGTAGTGCCAATGGCCACATTTTAACCAGAAAAATAAACTGTGTTGCTAAAATCGGAGTATTCAGGCAATTTGGGACACAGACCACTAGCATAAAAAGTTGCCTTAAGGCTATGGTACTGACAGTAAGCATCTCAAGCAATGGTACAGATCAACTGTATCTGAAAGTTTTCAGATGAACTCTGCCACCAACTGCACCCACAGGGTCCAGCCAGGTGTGAGCTCTGGGTCCCCAGTAGAGGATGTGTGAAGGAGAAGCCACCTGTTTTTCTTGCAGTGGGCTCCAGGAAACACAGGGCACTCCAGCAAATATTAGTTAAGGAAACATGTTCTGGTTCTGGATGCAGTGCCTGAATGTCAATAACTTTCATGACTGTTTCAGGGCATGGAAAAATGAAATTAACCTTTTTTGTCACACAATAATGAAACTCAGCTTCTATAGGACTTTGAGGGAGAAGGGCCACCCATTAAAGAAAAACTTATTGACTACCATACAAAACTACCAGCAGAATCTCCTAGCAGCCTTTAGCTACCTGGCACACCAGAGTTAAATCCCAAAGTGCCTTTAAATACCTAAACTTGTATTTTGACAGAATAGTTGATGACTACCCCAGATGTTCAGAGATACTATAAATCAAAGAAATAGGACTAACACCCAACAAGGTTTCAGCAGGAAAAAAAGAGTCTTGTACAACTTAACGCAGTCTTAGCGAGTCAAGAATGCCACTTTTTAAATGAAGGGATTTTTAAAGATTATGAGGGGATTTCTACCCCTCTGTCACTTTTGGCCTGCTTTCATTTTATAAAGCTTCCTTAGTCAAACTTCTAAAAATCTTGTCAATCTTTGACTATTTTTAGATAAACTCATTTAATTTGGTCACTCTGATTTCCTGAAGGGAATGATTTACAAAAAGAGGCATTAGGATGTTGAGTCCATCAAAGCTGCATGTAATTAATATTGCATGCTGCTGGAAAGGCCAAATTAACACACAAAATTATACCAAAAGCTCAAGCCATTTTAGCGTAGTTCTGTTTTATTCTGGCAGCTGAATTCTACCCACTTTGCTAGACATTGCTGGGGCAAAGAGAGTCAGCTGGCAGTGAGCACTCTAAGAATCATAGGAAAATGGCCCTTCCAAGAGGGATGGGAAAGGTTTCCTGGATGGGAAAGGCCTGCTCCCTTACTGTGCAAGTGCTCCCCTACATGCAACACCCTGCTACAGTCAGCTTCTGAGCCCCTGGTATCATGTACCTTAAACATTTAATTCCTAGTTTTCCTGGCTGACACAGAGTAGGACTCCAACTGCTCATGATTACAGAAATTAAACCCTTGACAGTGTTCTTTGGAATGGGTTTTGTTGCTGTCTCACGTAGTCTGCTGTCAGACAAAGCTGTATTTTCCCCTTACATCACAATCACTTTAATTTTCATGATTTTGACTTTTAAAGATTGCTTTCTTCATTTTTGTATGTATGCTTGATCTTCTCATTACACTGATTTCAGTACAAAAAAATGCTAATAAAAGAAAAATGCCACCAACACAACTGCTTGAGCACTGCTGAATAGCTGGTGCACTCAGGATCACAAACAGCTGCTGCAATTATATTTAACTGCCCATTTTCTGCACTTGCTCACAATCAGATCTTACTTCAAGAACAGGTAGCAGCATTTCTGCTTTTGTAGTAAACAAGTGACATGATTAGAATGATGAGCGGGCTCCATCTCCATGTTTTAATCTTTCAGAGGTGTCTCTACCCAATTGGGAAGCTGAAATTCTCGCTTTCTGTCTACAATGAGCTGTGCTGTCACTCCATCCTGAACATGTGTATATGATGGAACTTTTCTAAACTAGTTATTTATGTAGCTTCTCATTTCCCCATGATTGTTTTATTGCATGATACAAATCCCCAAATGTGTGTTTCAAGCAATTTAAATCTTTATTTTCTCTGTACAAACACACAGTGTTCAATAAAGGAAAATGATTTCTTTTTTCCCTGACAGGAGTTAGTAATTTCCTCTGCTCCATTTTCTCCTTCCTAACAAACTTCTATTGATCAAAATGACTGCAGAAATGAAGTGACCAAACCAGGGTAAAAGATTTACAAGATTCATTAGAATGGTAAATTCTGCATTTAAAAATATAAATAGGAGCAACAGGAAGCAACAACTTCCAAAATTTATTTTTTATGCATCATTAAAAACAGGCCATATGTGATTAAATAAGTATCTTGCGCCCTTATTTTAACTCTGCTGTCCTTCTAGAACTCATATGACTCCAAGCTCCTTAAGTACGTGACATGTATAGTCTGCAAACAGCACTGTGTAGGGGTTGAGAGCATCTGGAATCAAAGCAGTGTAAGAGAATCAGGCTTATTTATTGGGTGAGTGTGTGAATATAATTGATAAAGTAATAGAGCATTGTAATTACTTGAAGTTACTAAAGCTCGCAGCCCTGTAAGTACCCAGAATGCACAGTCTACAAATGGCTTTTTAAGTTACTCAAGTGCCTTTGAGATCAAAGTAGCTTAAGAGAATCATATTGCTGGTGAGTGGGAGTCGGAGTAGGAGGCTTAACTAATTGCTAAGTAGTTTGAGCATTTTAAGTACTTCAGGGCACTGTAGCATGAGTATAAAGTAATACGACAAAATAACACCTGTGTGTTGGTGCTTGGCTTTCCAGAGCCAGACTAGTGATGAGAAACTCCAGTAATAGCAATTTTAGCAGGATGCCACCTAACCAAACAAATGAGTGATCCACTTGGACTGGTGTCTGGCAAGCACAATCTAAACAGGATGAAAAACCCAGTTTGAGATTGAGGCTTCTGCCTAAAGCAGCTGGAAGGAAAACTTGGAGCTGAGCTCAGCACAGTTCTGCAAAGGCACCATGGTGTCAGGTACGGTCAGGGGAATAAGAGAACAAGAAAGTGCCACTGGGGATTAAGAAAAACTCCAAAATGGGGACATACTAGCTTTAAACTGTCTTCTTGTACTACAAGGCTGCCCGAGGCTGGTTGGTAGGGCTGCAGATGTCTGTTGCAGCTCTCAGCCACGAGTGGTTAAAGTGCAGAAAGAGAGAGCAGTCTCTTTCAATAGAGCTAAGAAATAAAGGACACTGAGAGATGTGATACTGGGGGGAGCACAGTGAGCAGGCATGACACACCTGGAGTGGAAACATGTGGCTCGTCCATACAGACCTCCATACAGACTGCCAGTCCACTTGTTGCAGTGAATACTAACTCCGCAGTAAAATAATAAACTGTTCCTTTTGTTTCATCCTTTCTTTACAAGGTTGTGTTGTTAATTTCTATTTATTTAAACACCAAGAAACTGAGTGTGATTCAAAGGAGTAGACATATAGCACATACAGGTGGCTATTTTGGAAGATCAGTGAAAAACATCAAAAGCGTCTCTTTTTTCTCTGTAACTGTAAAGACTCCCATGCATCAGGACAACTCTGAAAGATCTAAAAGCTGAAAGACATTTCAAAGTACTTTAAAACAAAATGCTAGTGAAAGGTATTACCTATAACTAAGAAAGCCTCCAAATTATTAAGATACAAATATCAAAACTGAAAACCTTGCAACTGCACTGTCAAAATGTCTCTAACACTCTACAAACTATCTGGGTTTGCCTTTCCACATGCATCATCTCCCATTTAAAAATCAGCTTCTGTGACTATCCAGTACACTCTTAGCTAAGTAAGCCTCAAAAAGAAGTTAGCAGTGAAGGAAAAAGTAACAGTAACCAGGTCGCACCACTTGCAGAGACACTAAAGAGGCACAGCTAGTTCAATCAACATCAGCGCATTACAAAGGACAAAGCACAGCTAGAAAAATAACTGTCCTTTCAACTAGTTAGCATTCAATCACTGAAGTGGAAAATTTTCTATCTCAACTTGATTTTAGGAGAAAGAAACACTTCACTGAGTCATCCCATACCTTTGAGGACAAAGTTCAGTTTGTCTGCACAAACCCTAGTATGCAGAAGAAAGACATAGCGAGCTTTTTTCTTTCCCCAGTAGCATGTAACTTGTAAAGAAACACAAATATACCTGCTTCATCATAGGATACAGTCAATTTTTCCAGCATTTCTCGATCAATGGATAAAATCTGCTGTTCCAGGATGGTTTGGTAAGACAATACGCTGTTCTCCTTGTCCTTCTCATAGTCTTGAAGGTGTTGTTTCAGGACTTCAGGTAGGCGGGACTTCACATATTCTGCTGCCGACTAGGTAGGAAAGAGGCAAAGGTTTAATTAATACAGTTGCTTTTAAAAAGCTCTACGCATATCCATAGCACTTTTATTATTATTATTATTTTAATTTAAAGCATTCTCAAACATAACTCCTCACGGTAAGACACACTTACTGCTGCTAAATTCAGGGTGCAAAATCCACAGGTCATTTCCCTGCGAAAATGACCCCTGCCCACCCAAAACTTCCAGGGAGTCAGGGATATAATGGACCAAATCCCCTTTGAGGCATAACCCACTTTTCATCAGGGAGCTTATGGCAGCCCAGAAAGAGTTACTCATGCTGGACGGGACGCACATATACCTCAATAGCTCAACTTCTTCATTGTTAACACAGTTTGAAAATATAACTATGAAATATAATGTCTTTACTCTAAATTTTTAAGTATGAAGTGGAATCACTTCACCTGCCACTGATACAAACCAGGCTCAGACAGAGAGATAGAGGTGAACATTTAACAGCATTAAAAAGTTCTATTATATACACACACATCCACACAGAAAAACCTTGTAAATTCTTTTCTGTGACTGCTCAAGGCCATAGGAAAACAGAAATTAACACAAGGTGGCATGGTTGTACCGATGTTATGGAGCCTTGTGCAAAAACATAAATGATAGTAACTAATAAGAGTGTGTATCTCTGGATACAGACTACTCTGCCCCCCAGAGCCTGCCCACCACTGGAACAGCTCCCTGCGCTGGGGCTTGGGCTCAGACACCCTGGTGAGATGCAAACACAAACCAGCTTTCTGGTTTTTAAGCAACTGCATCCCCCTCCTGCAAGTATTGCACTCCCACTATAAGAGGGACTAGAGAATTCCTCTTTCTGCCATGGTTTTGGGTTTTTTTTTTGCTTTCCATCTCTAGAAAAAAAATGGAAGAGAAAAATGTATCAAAGGCTGCTGCCCACTGCTCTAGCTTTCCTGACAACCTCGAAACAAAAAAGAAAAGCAAATTATCACAAGGTGGTATTCATTCAGGTCTGGACGTGACCAGAAGTTACCTCCACTTAAAAACTGGCTCTTCCTAGGTTTATATTTAGTTTTCCAAAGTCAATTGCTGATTAAAGACCAGGTTGGACGAGGCCTTGGGTGACATGGTTTAGTGTGAGGTGTCCCTGCCCATGGCAGGGGGGTTGGAACTTGATGATCTTGAGGTCCTTTCCAACCCTAACTATTCTATGATTCTATGATTCTAAATTGCAACCTTACATTGTGTTCTATTTTTCAGCAAGCTAAGCCCTGTGAGACAAATGAGACTACCCTAGAAAAACTAAAGGCACTCTCTACATGAGTACTGGGTATTTAACGTTACATTTTCACAGGGGTTTGCTTCCAAGGGAAGGCCAAAAGATACACTGTGTACTTATTATTTTAATCCAAGTTCAGGCATTTGTGTTTAATGTTCCCTTCGAGAAGAGGTTTTACTCTGTGGTAAAGTACTTGTGTGCTCTTCCTCAGGCAGTCAATTCTGAAGAGTAGGAAACAAAACACTTCATTTTCTGGAATGCATCTTGTGCCAGCTGAGTGAATATTTGTATACTACTCTGTAAACACACTACTCTGAAAAACACCTATCCCGTACCAAAGATCTTGCAGCCCAAGTGAAAATCAAGAGACAGATGGGTACAAACAGATGGAAAACCATCGGGACCACCAGCCATGGCTAGCGTGGCAGACAGCTGTCGCCAGCCACGTGCAACCCAATCAGCAAGTTTTTCTCTAGGCGTCAAGGCTGAGGATTACACCCATTTCAAGTGTGATCTCACAGGCGCGCTTCCCCCCCCCCCCAAGTGAGAAGCAAAACTCAACACTCTTGCTTAATCCACTGCCTTTCACAATACATCTAGATGTTATTAGAGATTTAAACTGTAGAGCAATGGTGAAACTGATACAAACTCTTCTCCTTTTCTAGCAAGAAAGGTGATCAGCCTCATCTGAGTAATTACATCCCTATCTGCATTGCAGCAAGGAGACAGATAGTACTACACCCTATTCAGCACAAAAGTAATTTTATCTCAGGTTTAAAAAGTCACTTCCAGTACTTGGAATACTAAAAAAGAAAAAGTGTAAGGGTGTGAGTGCATGTGTTTATGCATGTGTTTGGCATTAAGGAAACCAAGAAGCTAACTGTAGTTATGGATAAAAATTAAACAATGTTTAAAAAAGAAAGACTTCCACCATTTCCATAGTCTTTCATCCTACCACAATTCTCACCACACAGACCACAATATTCAGCTTTTGAGCAGACTAGAAACTCTCTCCATGCACCTCCCTTATGGATTCTGGTGCATAAAGCAGCCCAGAGACCCATTTTCCAGGATGCAAATGAGTTGGGGTTGTTCAGCCTGGATAAGACAAGGCTCTGGGAAGACCTCAGAGCAGCTTCCCAGTACCTAAAGGGGCAGACAAGAAAACTGGAGAGGGACATTTTACAAGGGCATGTCAGGATAGGACAAGAATGAATGGCTTTAAACTGAAAGATGATGGAGTTAGAGATATGAGGAAGTTGTTTTTCCCTGTAAGGGTGGTGAGACACTGGCACAGGGTGCCCAGGGAACCTGTGGCTGCCCAATCCCTGGCAGAGTTCAAGGCCAGGCTGGACGGGGCTTGGAGCAACCTGTTCTAGTGGAAGGTGTCATTGCCCATGGCAGGGGGCTTGGAACTTGATAATCTTTAAGGTCGCTTCCACCCCAAACCACTGCATGATTCTATGCCGCTCACCGCAGCTTGCCAGCAGAGCATCCCACCACTCCAGCCAGTGCTGGAGACCCCTCACTCTCCTGAAATATGTGAGACAAATACGTATTTGTCTCACAGGCCAAAGTTAAGGGAAAAAAACCCTACTTTGAGTCTTCAAAATAACTTTATCCTCTTTTCCTCTGTGTTGTCCCTCTTCCTCCTGCAGGAAGGAATTACAGACACAGCTGCTCCTGGAGAACATTTGACCTCAGCTATTATAGGTACAACTAATTGTACAACATTTGCTGGTCAGTCTTCCTTATCACCACCCTTATGAAAAAGTAATTTGAAGCTGTAGGCACTGCAGCAATGAGAAGCATGAAGAAACAGTGGTCCTGCTCAGGCAGGCACCTACCCACAGACCATGGTCACAAACCAGCAACATGACAGAAACACTCACTGCTGAGCTGTTACCTCTCTCCATCACAATAACCTCCTATTTTCTGGCATGAATTTACCCATTTCTCTTTTAAAATTGAAACTGCAGCACCCCCCATGAATCTGTTTTCAGTCTGAAGCACCCTTGTCCAAACTGAATAAAGGATTGACTTTAAAACCTTAACTGACTTTAGGTTATTTCATCCTACCATGGAAAACCAATTTCATTTATATAGAATAAATTTCAAACTATCTAAATACAATGAAATATACTTGCAGAACTTACAAAATATACACATTTTCTCTATTCACTAAAAAAAAACCCCAAACCCTACTTCAAAACCACATCAGGAAATGCTGAAAAATCCCTCACTGTGCAATAACCTGAACCTCAAATGCAGACAGTATCCTTCTGTAACTACCAAACTTGCCCTCATTTTTTGATTGATGAAAAACACATATCCAAAGTAAATTTTACATTTATATATTATGCTACTTGTCTGCTAAAATTTGCTCTGCTTTCCTGAAGTGTATCCTGTATCTGTAGGGAAGTAAAGGTCTAAAATGATTAATTAAAGGCTTCTTTATGAAGCTACTTCAAAAGTCAAGCAGTGGCTTCACAAAGCAGTCTCTTTACACAGTTATATTGGGTAATTTCACAGAGGTTTTCAACACAGAAAGTAGAGTTATTTGGCGTGTCGAAAATGACAACACCCATAAGGAACAGCTGCATCCTTGCTCACCCTCAACATGTTCTACAGGTTCAGCAGCTCAATACATCCCATAGCCTGGCTTCACCAACCCACTTGACCTTTAAAATTCAGGTTTTCACCAAAGCAAACACAGGGAACTTGCATATCTCTGGCACCTGAAACACTCCAGCAGGTCTAATTTAGATCATGTTATTGGCTAAGGAACAAGTGGCAACGGAATCTCCAAGTGCCAATAGAATCTGCTCACCATTCACCCCACTGTTGGGTCGGACAGGAGGAGCAGTATGGCTGGCTCTCAAATTATGTGGCTCTCCATGCAAGTGCTTGCAACACAGAGAAGATAGACCTGCATGGGCACATGTATAAACATGCAAGAAGTGACCCGAGTACTCTACAACAAAATGCATTAAGTAAGATTAAAGAATTAAACTTGGCTAGGGATGTTAAGGATAACAGGAAGGGATTCTACAGGTACGTAGCAAAGAAAAACCAGACTAGGGACAACGCAGGACCCCTCAGGAAGCTCTCGGGAGAACTGGCTACACAGGATTTGGAGAATGCTGAGGTTCTGAATGACTTCTTTGCCCCAGTCTTCACTGGCAAAGGCTCTGACCACACCACCCAAGTCTTGGAAGGTAGATGCAGGGACTGTGAGAATGAGGACCTTGGGCCCACTGTAGGAGAGGATCTGGTTTGAGACCATCTTAAAAATCTGAATGTGCATAAGTCCATGGGTCCTGATGAAATCCATCCGCAGGTCCTGAAGGAGCTGGGAAATGTCCATCTGTCCATCATATTTGAAAAATCATGGCAGGTGAAGTTTCCAACTATTGGAAAAAGGGAAATATAACCCCCATTTTCAAAAAGGGATAAAACGGATGACCCAGGGAATTACAGACCAGTCAGTCTCACCTCTGCGCCTGGCAAAATCTTGGAGCAGATTCTCCTGGAAGGCATGCTAAGGCACATGAAAAACAACAAGGTGCTTGGTGACAGCCAGCATGGCTTCACTAAGGGGAAATCCTGCCTGACCAATTTGGTGGCCTTCTATGATGGGGCTACAGAACTGATGGACAGGGGTAAGGCAGTTGATGTCATCTACCTGGACTTGTGCAAAGCATTCGACACTGTCCCACACAACATC